AAGATACCTTAGGGGCACTTATGATATTGCTGCCGCTGAAGCGAGTCTGCTGGGGACGTTCCCTCTCGGCAGGTACCTGAGGCATTGAGTTCTGAGATCCTGCTAGACAGCCTGCAGCCCACGTGTACAGGATTGGGCTGCGTTGCCGCTTCAGTGTTTTACCTGCAGCGGACCTTTAATGGAATTCGACCACATGCAAGGGAACGCTGATCCGTGATACCCGAGCAGGGAAGCCGAAGTAGCTCTTGAAGTTTGACGTGTGATAAGATCTTCGCAGCCATCGCAATCCATCGCCTTTCCCTGGTGGCGGCGACGGGCGTGCGGTCGAGGCAGCTGCTCGACGGTAGGCCGGGAGCCGCTTGCAAGCCGTGCACGATCTCCGGGGCTACGTCCGTGTGAAGCCCGCCGGGCTGCGAGAAAGCGGGCGTTCCTCACATTCCTTGACTGGTTTCCGACATGAGCCTGCTAGAGCCTGCCAGAGCCTGCCCTTTCTCGTGGCTTCAAGGCACACGCATGAGGTTGCCCATACGCCGTCGAAACTCCGCGAGGGGGCTTGAGGGCGCATTTCTATCGGAAGTACATGCGAGTCAAAGAAGGTCGCAGCGGCAGTGCGATCATCGGGCTTTGAGCTGCCTGGTCCTTGTCAAGCCTCCTCGATCTTGGACCATCCGCGGACCTCAGGCTCAAATTCCGTTGTAGCGACAGGCCAACCTTGCTCCGCACTCTGCCTCTGGAGATGATGTTGATTCCTACCCTTATGAAGGTGCCGCCCTGACTGTGTCACGACCCGTGAAAGGCCCCGAAGCTACCTCGGCAAGCCTTTATGCTGTGCAGGCGTGGCGCGTGCATTCCTATGGCAAGGAAGGCGCGGGGCGGCATTTTCTGCATTGTAGGAAAGGGCAGCGCGGCCTTGACTCTGCCTTCAGGGAACCCGGCGCATGCCATCAGCAACATGACTCTGAACATGGTCCCAGTTCCCGAGCCCAGGAAGGGGCAGGCCTTCATCCCGAGGGGCTCGCAGGTTTTCGGTGATGGGGCCCGCCGACGGCAGGTCCTCGTCAAGGTCCAGATGGCGGCCGTGAACCCGGTCGAGCTTCGGCTGCCCTGCCCTTGTGCTAGCTGGGAGTGCAAGTCTAGGCGTTCTCAGGGGCTGGGGCTCAGCAGGGATGCCTGGTTCAGATTCACCAGCAAGATGCGAGGAGTTGAGTCTTGATGCCTGCAGTAACATGGCTGCGGTAGCGCCTGGTAGTGAGACATACGGCAGCAACACGTATCCCCGACTCGTTGCAGCTTCATTCTCTCAGCAGCGCGGCCTCTGCCGAACCGAGGACTGGAAGCTCTTCGGCGGTGGCATGCACAGCATCTTTCCAGTGAGCTTCCCGTGACTTGGGCTGCCTTGCTCGCAAGTTGTGTGGGCAGCATGGATGTCATTCGACTCCTTGAACCCACCTGAGGTATGTACCGGGTTTCGACATCGCGGGAACAGTGGTGAAGGCACACGGCCGGGCTCTTGCGGACGACGTGCCTATGCGCTCTTCCAGTGTCGGTGCCAGGTTGGCGAAGGAGTGACCCGCCTGGCAGTGGGCGATGAGATCTGCGGGGACATCGGCCTCCGCGAGACTTGCTGTCCCACGCTTTGAATAGGGGGTCGGGAAGGTTCTAGGGCAGTCTTGGCAGCAGCGGATTATAGGCTTCTAGTGCGTGTGGCACAGTTGATGACCATCTCGCCTTGTGTACACACAGATTGCGAAGCCAGCAAAAAGGCAACTGCCGGGCAGAAGCTCATGTTGCTGCATCATACGAAACTGCAATCGCTGAATAGCGCCAAATGCTGCAAAGCTGACTGTGAGCGCATGGGCCTCGCGTCGCGGTCTTGCCGTGAGATCCTTGCCGTGTGAGAGCGTGCGACGCGAGACTGCCGGAATCTGCTCAGCAGAGGTCACGATACACAGGCTGGTCCTGCCGGTGCCTTTGCGGAGCCGCTTCTTTCGCACCAGCTTGCTTTCGGGGCGAGGCACCTTGGGGCACTTGCCAGCCGGGAGACTGGGCTGACTCAGAGTGAAGAGTCTGCGGGTGCAGAACCCCTTGTGCAGCAAGTCAGCAGGCATAATACCCGTCAGCTTTGTGCCAGTAGACTCAGTAGAACTGACTAGCAAGGTATGCCGTGGCGTTTGCGGACACTATTGCAAAGTATCTGGGCAGCATGTTGCTGCATACCAGCCAAGCAGGGGCCGTGCAGCAGGCTCTTCGAAGGACCCAGAAGCAGGCAGAATTGTGCGGAACAGCGCAGGTGGTTCAGGAGCATAGTTACAGGTGTCATGGCATTGTGTATGTATTACGACTTGTTTGCAACACGAGGCGTGAAGGCCTTAGCGCAGAAGAAGTGGCAGCTCGGAGGCGTTTCAGACTTTATTGCTTTCCTGCATCATTTGGGCCAAGACGTCCGGCACCTTCCAAGGTGGGTTTGCCGCTGGTGGGCCTGACTTCGTACCAGGTGCCTCCTGTGGGGATTTGGAGTGAATGCGAGCTCGCAGATGCAAGACCTGGTTTTGGGGTTTGCCGAGAGTCTTTTGTGATATCCGAAATCTATCAACCCAAAGCAGGAACTACCATGGAGGCTGATTATAGGTAGGGTTTAGGCAGTCTTTGGCCCCGCTGCCTGTAGCAGCCCATCTGCTGAGGTCCTATTCACCGGCGCCGGGCGTGACTCTGCCGGCACAGAGCTTGGCCAACTTGGCCCCGGCCCTTCGGCATGGATGCTGTGGGGGCATTAGCCGTCTCAATGTCGTCTCGAGCTGAAGCCGATGCGTGCAAACGTGATCGAGGCCAGAAGCTGTTGATTCTGGGCGGAGGCGCGGCCACCGGCTCTATTGCTGTCCAGCTGGCGAGGGCCGCGGGCGCCTACGTGGCCACCACGGTCGCGGGGTCTGGAAGTACACGGAGAGTATGCTCAGGTGGGTAGGTGCGTGGGCAGGTAGGTGGGTCGGTGAGGTAGGTAGTTGATAAGGGTCGGAGGCAGATGCCGTCAAGATCCATCTTCACAACAGAGCGCATAGTGAAACTTATATGATGCATAGGGTTCTATGCACAAACCACACATAATCTGTAGGTGGCCTGGCATATGTGTGTATACATACATACATCATACATACATA